ATACTGCTATTTTGCAGCAATATGTCATCTAAAGGCTTTAAAGTCCATTGATAATCCTTGCCTCAATCAATTATTTCTTTAGGGTTTGTGTAATAGTCATTTCCTAACTACATCATTTATTCTACATTTGTTTGCTAGCACCACATAATTAATTTTCAGAGGAAGAAGTTGGTATAGTGGTCATTTCCAACGACAGAAGTAAAGTCGCCTGCCCGCCTTGCTTCTCTCTCATCAAGTATAACCACAGAGTACAGATTTTTATCTATTCACTATTTACAATCAATTGTAGTCATTTGCCAAAGTTGCCCTAAATTTGGCCTGTGGGTGATCTTTTAAGCAGGCCCCGTTGTCTTTTTAAAATCTACTTTTAAAGACCAAATGTACAAATAGACATGGCCAGACCATGTATAAAAATAGAATTTTGACACAGCTGGCATCAAAGTGCCCAGGAAACCAACCCCCTCATCTCAGGCAGCCTGCCCAGGAAGCCAGACGACTGTAAGTCAGAGTTAGAGAGCCAGGCTGCGGCCTAACAACCCAGAAGGCTAAACACACCTTCTGTAACAATCAGCTCAAAATGGCCGGACTCGATTAAAGGCTGCCAGCTCCCCTAACTTCTGACCCCACTTCCCTCTTAGAACCGGCGGAAGAAAGCCCAGTATACACCCCTAACAGGTCCCGTGGCCGCCCCACCTCTCATCAGCCGCCTCCAGCTGCCAGGCCCACGGCCCCGTCGGGGCGCAGCTGGGCCCTCCGTTTCCTCCACTAGGACGCTCGCCCCCGCCCCCTGCCTTCAAGTCTCTGCCAAACCCCAGCGATGGTGCCCGATCCCTGCTACAACAACCTCTGAATTAAACAGCCTTTGCTTTTCTCATTTTGCTTGTCTTCATTTATTTCCACACTTTACTGAGGTATAATTTGCATACATATGACGGTGTAACTCATATAAAGTCTAACATAGTGAGGTATAATTTACCTTAAATGCACCCATTTTAGTTGTACAGTTTAATGAATTTTGACAAACATACATACCTGGGTAATCATCACCCATGACGTAGAATATTTTCATCACTCCCAAAAGTTCCCTCGCGTTTTTTTCCAGTTGATTCTAGCTCCTTTTCCCTCCTTGCCAGGCGTGGATTTGACTTCTACCACTAGACTTCTTTCACTAAGTTCTGCCTGTTCTTCTAAGTCCTGGTGACATTTTTTCATTAGCCTAAGCACTTCCCTTGCATTCAGCCACAACAAAACGTCTGACCTAACGTACTTTTTTTTCCCTGCCCCAGAACTGGAATCAGTCAATTCTCCAAGACGCTCTGGGTCTATTTTGTGGAAAATGGAATTTAGAAACGACGAACTGATTGGCAAGTGTCTTCACTGTTACTGTAAGGAGACCAGCCACCATGGTTTGCCTGCGACAGTTCAGTTCTAGTTTTAACACTCCAAGTTCAGCATCTCAGGAAATGCCCTAAGTCCCTGGCAAACTGGAACAACTGGTCAACCCCCTGCTGCTGTCTAGGTCCTTTCAGTCCACAGAAGTAGGAAATTTATTTTTAAAAATCATGTGCTCAGATTGATAGGTCCAATTTCACATAACAGGTTTTTTCTGAACTTTCTTAATTTTAAATATCTCATTTTCTCTTACACTGAAAGTCTTACACATTCTAACATTAGAATATCTGTGTATCCCACTATTTAGTCCCAAAACTACAGAGCAAATAATATTACCATTAACTATAAACCACTGAGTGAAGCTGAAGATTCCTTTGCAGGTCTTTCTTCATCCTTAGAACATACCCCACCACAGATACTGTGCGTACTATGTTTACAAGATCCGGGGAACAACTTTTTTCTCTGTTTGACAACATAGTTATGTCACCAATTGGACTTACAGTTAAGTTCATGTTTCGATTTGCTTTCAACTTTGGGTTTACTTTGTTTCCTTTTTTATTTACTTTTTTGGCAATGTAAATACTTAAAAAGTTCAAAGACAAGTTAGTCTTGCTTCTGTTTATTTCCCCCCCCACCACCACCACCACCTTCTATAGGTAACCATTTTTACTGTTCCTAGGATATCTTTCCAATTGTCCATACAACCTGGGGCTCATTCCAAAACAACAGTATCGTCCTAATAATGTGTACTCCACTATAAATGAGGAACAGCCTCTCACATTGAGGGGCCATTGCTATTTTTTTCTGTGAATTGTCTGTTCATGTTCTTGCCCATTTTTCTTTTTGGATTTTGGTCTTTTTCAGTTTTGAAAAGTCCTGTGATGTAAGTTGCAAATATTTTCTCCACGCCGATCTGATTTCCTGGGGACATACCATGATCCCTTTGACCATCTAGAGTGTACTTTAATCTTATCCTAAAATGACCTAATTCCAGGACACCTTTGAGGACAAAACAGTTTTGGAAAAGCCGGATAAGGGTAGACCAATCAAAAGAATTACGTGACCCCAGGAGTCAGTTTAACAAGAGACTGCTTCTCGTTTACCAGGTAACACCATCATTCATTCGTAGGCAATGCTCCGGATGACAGCAAGTTCTGCTCTTCCGACAGCATGTCCGAATTACAAAACTTATTTTATCGGGTTCATTAAAACCACACAGGGTGTGCTTCATCTCGTTTCTGGGTTAGCAAGGTGCCCCCAAGAGTTGCTGACAAAGGCACAACGTCCATCTGCTAGACAACTGCTCCTCCGTTTCGCCTCAAACAGTCCACACAGGACTGAACTCAGCGGCCAGGAGGCTGCACTTCACAACAGAAGAGGGGGTATCGGTTTCTAAGCGCTCAGAACGTGTAACGGCGAGCCTCAGGAAAGCCCGAACCCACTCTCCCGATCCCACCCGCCCGCGGCCGCGTTCCTGAGCTTGCACTGGCCGGCCACCGCGCGGAAGCACCACAGACGGACTTTGTACGCGACCGTCCAATCACGCGCCGCCTTGGCGCAGATTCCTCCGCCAGAGGCCGCGCCGCAGCCGCAGGTGGCCCGGCGAGCGCGTCCACCCCACGCCGCCGATCGCGACCCCGCCGCCCTTCCCGTGATGCCTTGCGGCTGACCTCCGGCCCCGCGGTCCAGCCCGCCCCGCGGTCCAGCCCGCCCCGCGGGCCGCATCTCTCCCCGCCCCCGCGGAGCTTGCGGCGCTCCCGCGGCCGCGGGGGTGCCACCTGAGCGCAGCTCCTCCCTCGCTCCTAGAGTGCCTCGGTCGGGCGCCGTCCATTCGCCCTTCCTCCCCGCGGCGGGGCCCGGCGGCGGCCGGGTGGTTGCGGCCGCGTCGCGAGGCGACAGGTCGATGAGTGGGCGGGACGCGAACAAGAAAGGGCGGGAGTGAGCGGGTGGCGGCGCTTTTGGGCCGGGGCAGGGCGGCAGGCGGGGCGGGGCGGCGGGAGGAGCGGGAAGGGGGTGGGGCGGCGAGGCCTCGCTTCCTCCCTCAGCGCCATTTTGTGGCGGCGAGACCCGCAAATAAAGGGGAGCGCGGGGGCCGTGGCTACCGTGATCGGGCGGCCTCGGCGGCGATCGGGCAGCGCGGCCTCGGCCTATGTGACTAGGCGGCGCCGGCGCGACCTCTGTCTGGAGAGGTAGGTGCGAGCCGCCGGCGGGAGCGGCCGCGAGGATATCTGGGTCCCGAGGGCTGAAGCGCGGCCGCCCTGGCCCGGGAAGGGGTGCTCAGAGCCCGGCGGGCGACTCCGAGCTCCCGGGCCCGCCGGCCTCCCGTTAGCCGCGCCGCCTTCCCGCCTGCGGGGACGCTTCCGCCGCCTCGAGGCCATTTTACCTCCTTTCTTCGTCCCCTGGGCCCGGGGTGAGGTGGGCGCTCCCGCGGACCGGCGAGGCCGGGAGCCCGCCCCCTCGGTGCGCGTCCAGTCCCCGCCTCGGTGTCGCCCCCTCCCACCCCCTGGCCGGATCCCGGGGCTGGCGGTGCAGAGGAGGGCGGCGAGGGGAGGGAAGCAGCGAGCGTTCACCAGATTTCCCATCGCGCAGTAGGTTGTCGCTGCAGCTGCGTCCTCCTGTAGACTTCCATTTTTAAATGATCGGTGCATTCTGAGTTAAAAGGTGATTCTCTATTGAATTACTTCCAGATTTTCGTGAAAATTGAAAGTCTCACCTTGGGTCCTTGTGAGGCTGTTAGTTGAATTATTTTTTTCCTTTTCTTTTTTTCTTTTTCTTTTTGTGTGTGTGTGCGTGGAGGACACAAGTCCAAGTTCTTGTTTTGGTAAAATCAGTTGGATGTTGGATCCCGAAAGACTGTTAAAAACCCTGAATAACCCCTGTTTGTAGTAAAAGGCGATTCTTTTGCGCGAGGCAGCAAAGGATTTCCATGAGCAATCCATTACAGTCATGAATTGTCCATCCAGTTTTCCTTGTCTTAGAATTTCGCTAATTCCATTGCTGGAAGATCATTGGAAGTCAGCTTTGTCACCGCAGCCCTGTGATGCGGATGTGAGAGTTGTAATAATTATGTTTGTAGAGTACATTACCGTTTTTCAAAGTCCCTTTTAGTCTTGCATGTATATACTGTGGACTCCCCTTAGAAACACAGGGTTGGATAAAAGGTTTACAGTTGCTTGTATGAAAAATAACAATAAATAGTAATACAAGAATAAACATTTTAGCGCACTCACCTGTAGGTTTTGCCTCACCCTGTACACTTAGTAACCGTCTTGATCATTTTCATTAGCTGTATATTATGTAGCTGTTGGAAAAAATTTTCTTCTTGCTCTTAAAAATTTTATGTTGGTGGGTCATTTAGCGAAACAAGACCTAGACAGTATTATGTCCCTCTTTTATGACTCCTAATTTTCTGTTACTGTTTATCAGACAGAAGACTTTAATATTCCCATAATATTATATTGGCTATTAAGGTGGTGCATCAGGCCAGAATTCAATGTTATAAATAAATGTTCTCTCTTGAAAATGTAGGTGATGGGAATTTTTCCTAAATGCACATTAAAATCTTTTATGTGAAAATCCTTTTTTTTTTTTTTTTCCTTTTTGTATAGCACTTCTATGACACTCCAAGCATTGAGATTTGCAGCACTTCATGAGGCAGACAAAACTGGTGTCCCCGTTTTGCTGATTTGGAGACTGTAGCCCAGAGAGTTTAGTGACTTGCTCAGAATCACATGACTGAGAAAGGTACAAGAGCCAGGAAAAGGTGGTCTTCCCACTCCTAACTAGTGCCCTTCCTACTACAGTGCCAAGGCTAGTGCAAGGTCAGATTAGTAATTTGTTGTGTTAAGTTATGAGTTTCAACCAGCTACATGCTTTCCTGCTGAAGTTGTGTTGGCTGGTGCTTGCCTCTCAGCGTAGAGAGAACTGAGTTGCATAACTTAGATCATCATGCTAAGAGCTAGGGAAGTACTGGGATCTGGGATGCTAGGCACCCAGCCAGCCCACACTGAGCCTCTCCATCATAAGCTGTTTTTCAATATTAAGGCCTCAGGAGTGGAGGATGCCCCTGACATTCTAAACTTGAGATTTATTGTCTTTTCAATTGGCCACTAAATAGTTGAAACCATTACATAATTTTAAAATCATGTTTAACCATTTTCTTAAATGTGCCAAAAGGTAACCAAATTGTCCAATTTTGAGGGGTTTTAAATTTTCATTTTCTGCATTCTCTACTTTAGCTAGCTATAAGCTGCTTGATCATTATTCTGGATGGGAGAGTGGAAGAATTATCCATCTTCATTAGTTACCAACTTTTGTCATTTCATCATCTGGAAAATCGGGACTAACTTTCAAAGTGGCTCAGAACATTTAACATATATTCATTTTTTTCCTTGAAGGTTCAACTCCAAACGATATTTCAGTCATTTCATTTTTCTGATACAAGAATAGATTGTAATAAGGACCTGGAGTGTTCATTTTCTTTATGACTCTAGAATTGACTTTAGTTGGTTTATTGTGCTGTCAGTCGTGCCCCGAAAAAATTGCCTTGGGAAATAATAAATTTCCTAGCACATTTGTGCAATGTGGAAGTCAAAATTGAGAACAGGTTCTGTTTTAACTAAATAATTGTATGTTGATGCTTTCAAATTTTAAACCTGTTCTAATTTGCCTTTACCAGACTGCTCATGTAACTATTATGCAATATCATGGACTCAAGAAAAGATTGACTTTTTATCAGCTAAAGATAAGACAGGAGTTTCTTTCTAAATTCTGATGCTTAGAATTCCCAAGTTACAGGTGCAGTGGTCTGTGACTGTGATAATTGACATACGAAATGCAAAGATTTATACAAAAAAAACATGTATTTATCGTTGACTTACATTGCAAGATTAGAAATTTACTATTGTAAAGAAAATATAAATATTCTCCAAGCAGTATGTTATTAAAATCTACCCAACATCAAACTTTTTAAAAGAAAAGAGAACATAAACCAGCATTAGAAATTAAAATAACTCACTGTTTAGAATTCTAAAAATTAGAGGTCACCAAGAATTTTGCACTTAAAAACTTATCCTCAACCTGTCAATTATCCCGTAAGTTTTTTGAGAAATAGTAATTGGGGGTCTTTGGGTGTTTTTTTGTTTTGTTTTGTTTTGATGGGGAGAAGGAAACTACTAATTAAATGCTTATTCTGTGCCAGTCACCATGCCAAAATCTAACATTTATCTTCAAAAAGAGCACAATAATTTTGAGCCTTGGTGGCCGTAGTCCTTTTTGAGATGGGGCAACTGAGGCTCAGAGGTTATGTTGCCTTTTTTATTGGGTTAGCCAAAAAGTCCATACGGTTTTTTCCCCCATAAAATAAGACACAATTTTCATTTTCACCAATAACTTGATTGATTTGGATATTTTGAGTATGTCAGTTATCTTCTGCTACTGGCTTCTAGTGGGGAGAGGACAGGGGTACTGCTAAACATCTTCCAATGCATAAGACAGCCCCACAGCACAGAATTATTTGGCCAAAATGTCAGTAGTACCAAGACCACTTCCACTTTCATAGCACCATCTCCATATACTACACTGATCTGTTTTTGCATTTTTAAAAAATTTAATCTTTAATGTATTTATTCTTTCCATTATCATTTAGTCCCCTTATACCACTCTCCCCCAGCAATCTTTTTTTGTGTTTCAGTTGTGTTTTAACCTTTTTTGAAATAACAAAACATAATATGCCAAAAACATTGAGTATATTCTCCCATCTTCAATATTACAGTGGCTGCACGAAAATTCACGAATTTTGATAAGTTTTTTTAAATGCACACTATGACTGCTGTCACATTACAATCTAACAAAATTGTTTCAAATGAAGTTAAAGACAGGTAAGCACTACTAGAGCATCGTACGGAAAAAATGTTAATGGACTTTTTGGCCAACCCAATATTTTCAGTTTGTCACCCTATTCTGGAAAAGCAGGGCTATCAGAACTTCTTTTTGTGTGTCTCGGTCCTTTAAATGTCTTTTAACAAAGAGTTTAGCCTACTTATTGCTAATTAAGCTTGCAGTTAATTTTTTTTTAGTGGAATAAGTTGAATAACTATTAAGAGAATAGACAGACTTGGGGAAAGTGTCAGATTGTAGAAACATATGCTAGTTTATTAACTGGAATTTAATATTTAGTCTATATTAAATAGCATCCATAATACTTAAGTCTTATAACTACAATTTTGAGCAGCTATGGTACCCTTCTGTATCATTTCGGCAAGATGCCTAGGATACCAGGAGGTCAGGGTTGGACCGCAGCATGAAGCTGTCCCCTTTGTAAGGCTTGTCTTTCCTAGGGCAGGTGTAAGAATGCATCGAACAATTACTTCTCTCAATCCTTTATAGCAACGTCAAAAAAGAATGATGAACTTTTTTACAAAAGAATTTAAAAAATAAGTTAATAACAATAGTAATAGTAATATTGATGTAAGATGTTAAAAAAGGAGAAACTGAGTGTGGAGTATATGGAACCCTATAATATCTTTGTTGCTGTTTAGTAAATCGAAAACTATTCTGATACAAAAGATTTATTTAAATTAAAAAAGAAACCCTAATGATTTGGTTATGATTGAATTCACTAATACATTGGTTTCAAAAGGCCAGTATTTTTTTTGTTCAACGGGAAAAAAATCTTCAGTGGAAAAAAACAGACTGAATCTAATCTCTGTCCCTTTTCCTAGGATTCAAGATGACCAACGAGGAACCTCTTCCCAAAAAGGTGAGTTTTTTCCAGCAGTTTTTAAGCTTTTTAAAAAAAAAAACAAAAGAGTTGAAAGGACTTTTCTGGATTGTTTGTTTATTGTTCACTCCCTTGCCTATGACAACAATAGCGTTGTGGATGCATAATGTACTAGCATTGTATATTATATGCAGTGTATTTTTAGAATATTTTCAGACTTTTGGAAAATTTTGTTACGATGCTTTCCCCATGCTCTACTCTTAGCCTTTATTATACAAAAATTATACAAGTAATGTCAGAAAAGATTATTTCACAGGTTCCAATAAGGTACTTACTTTCTTTTTTCCTAATTTAAATTCCTTTGATTATAATGTAAAAGTATTTTTCTGTTTTTCAAAAAAAAAAGGAGGGGTAACAGCTGTTTAGTTATTAGATTCTACCTTTTTCTCTGGTCTCATATTACCCTGTTCTGTGTCCCTTAGTTCAGTTTAGTCACTATTAACACACGCAAGTAACATAGGCAGTAAAATCTCAAGCATTTCTTGTAGCAGTATTTTTTCTGATTTATCTCCTGGGGCAAGGGAAACAAAAGAAAAAAATAAACAAATGGGACTACATCAAACTAAAAAGTTTTTGCACAGCAAAGGAAACCAACAAAGTGAAAAGAAAACCCACTGAATTGGAGAACATATTTGCTGATATATCTGATAAGAGGTTAATATCCAAAATTTATAAAGAACTTATAAAACTCAACACCCCAAAAAAACCCAATTTAAAAGTGGGCAAAAGACCCGAATAGATACTTCTGCAAAGAGGACATGCAGATGGCCAAGCAGACATAGGCAAAGATGCACGACTGCGCTAATTATCAGGGAGATGCGAGTGCAGATCACAATGAAGTATCACCTCACACCTGTCTGAATGGCTACCGTCAGTAAATCAACAAACATTTGCTGGTGAGGATGTGGCGAAAAGGGAACATTTGCACTGTTGGTGGGAATGCAGATGGTGCAGCCACTATGAAAACAATAGGGAATTACCTCAAAAAACTAGAAAAGGAACTGCCTTTATGACCCAGCAATTCCACTTCTGGGAATTTATCCAAAGAAACCTGAAACACTAATTCGAAAGAATTATATGCACTCCTGTCCATTGCAACGTTGTGTACAATACCCAAGATATGGAAGCAGCCCAAGTATCCATTAGGAGACTAGCAGATAAAATAACTAGTGGACATTTACACAATGGAATGCTACTTGGCTGTAAAAGACAAGGAAACTTCACCCTTCAGGACAACATGGATGGACCTGGAGAGCATTATGCTAAAGGAAGTAGGCCAGTTAGAGAAAGACAAGTACCATATGATTTTACTTATGTGTGGAATCTAATGAACAAAATGAACTAACAAGCAAAATAGAGACAGGCTAGAGAGAGAGCAGGCCGACAGCTATGGGGGGTGGGGACTGGGGAAGGTAGGGTAGTTGAGCCAAAAAAAAAGCCATTAACAACAGTGATGGGGGTGCTGGAGGGGGGCGTCGGAGGGGAAATGGTAATGGAAGGAGACTGCACCTGGGGCGATAAACAGGAGGGAGTACAGGCGACGTGTTGTGGGGTGTGTACCTCCAATCTGTGTAATTAACTAGTGTCACCCCAATAAATTCAATAAAAAACAGGAAAAGAAGTAGTGGAGATGGGGCTTCAGGTTCTAGGTGTTAGCTTGCTTGGCACAAAGTCAAATGTGTGCCTAATACATCATACTCATTTTATTTATTTTTTTAAAAGAAGTAACAATTTCTAAGCAATTTATCATTCAATTGGGAAAGCAGGGTATGTGCTTGCTAACTAGTGACTATTAAATGAACAAGTGAGATAAGTGTGTCTTATAAGGGAAACTATAATATAACCATAATTTCACACTAGAGTGAGAGAGGTACCTCACCTCTACAATCTTCGTTTGGTATAGAGAAAACAATATTTCTCAACTTACAAGTCAGACTGTTATGCCCATTTTTTAAAACTTTATTTTGAAATAATTACCGATTTACAGAGAGCTGCAGAGAAAAGTGCGGAGCGGCCCTGCGTGCTCTCACCATTGACATCTTGCATAACCATCAGGCACCTTACATAACGTCAGACTCAGGAACTTGCCCCAGAGCTCACTCTGGTACCACCGGTTATGCGCACAGGGTGTGTGCGTTTCTGCGTGTCCCTAGGTTTTCTCACATGGGTTAGTGTGGCCGCCATCACAGCAAGCTAAACAGTTAACCGAACCATCGTCGCAAGCCTCCCTGCGCCATTCCCCCTCCGTCCCTACACCTGGCAGGCTTTAATCAGTTTTCCATATTTATAATTATGTGACCTTACAAGTGTTATAGAAAATGCAGCCTTGCAGTATATATATCCTTTTGAGACTTTTTTTTTCCCCACTCAATATAATTTTCCTTGTGGTTTATCCAAGTTGTTGGGTATATTGCTAGTCTAGTCACTAGTCTGTTTCTTAGTATCCCATGGTGTGGGTGTGTCATAGTTTAACCTTTTACCTGTTGAAGTTTCGGTAGTTTTCTAATTTGGGCTGTTATAAATAAAGCTGTACATTCATGTACAAGTTTCTGTGTGACAATGTTCATTTCTTTGGCGTGCGGGCTTAAGAGTGCAGCTGCTGATTTGTCTGGCACATCCATTTTTACTTTTAAAAGAAACCACAAAACCATTTTCCAGAGCAGGCATACCATTTTACGTTCTCACCAGCAATGTATGGAAGTTTTGCATCTTCACCTACCATTTGGTATTGTTACCACTATTTTTTATTTAGCCATTCAAATAGGTATATAATAATTACTCATTGGGGTTTTAATTTGCATTTCCCTAATTAGTGATGCTCATTTTAAAGATAACAAGTAGTTCACCTTTTAAAAAGCTGCTTTCCAATAAAAATGAGGAATTTTTTTTTTTAAGTTTATATAGTGCGTACTGACCCATTTAAGTCTCAGACTCAGGAGATGTGCCAGCACAGAACTTCGGCGGGGGGCTTTGTGTGTCTTCAGTAATTAAAGGGATGCCTGATGGAAACCAGCAATTGAGAGACAGAAGTTATGATCCTGTCTTCATAAAGTATGAAGAGCGTAAGTGCCGGTGGTAGATAATATTTAAAATTTTTAGGAAGAGCATTCTGTTCATATTTTGATTCTCTTTATAGGTTCGACTGAGTGAGACAGACTTCAAAGTTATGGCACGAGATGAGTTAATTTTAAGGTACAATGTTCTTTTCTGAAAATATAAATAATATTCTATAGAACATTATATCGTAACTCTGTACTATAAAGTTTTTATCTGTATGTCACTTGTTCTTTTATTTTTAATGTGACTACATCTTCAAATCATTTAATGTACTTTCGGAATGTATCTTATATGCCCTGTTTCTTACATAAACATTGAGGGAAAGCCTAACACTTTAAAGATCTAAAGCACTAGGTTGGGTAACTCCTAGGCAATTGGTAAGCTGATTTTTTTTTAAATAGGTAACCTGAATTTTTTTCTAGCTAAGAGAAAATAATTCAGAATTTTACATTGAAAAGTATAACTTGCTGCAGGGAAAGATTCTGCTTTCAGTTTAACAAATACATAGTCTTGGTTTAATGGAGTTATTTCTTCCTTTTCTATTTGCTGTGATAAAAGGTGGAGCCTTAAAGGCTATGTGTTTAGTTATGGAAGAAATAACATAAACTGATGAAGGCAAATTATTCTTTCTCATAAATGACCTTCGTCAGTTCATTTAACTCTTTATATCTTTCATTTGCTCACTCGTAAGTTAAAGAAGTCTCATTAAATTACTTTAAACATATACTTGCAGCTCTGAATTCTGTGGCTATCTGATAAATGTCTTGCAGAAGCATACTGTCAAGTGCAGCATTACAGTATTCATTTTTTAAATGCAAGAAATCCAAACAAGGGATCATGTGCTTTGTGTTTTATAATTTAAATATATTCTTTCTGCATTTAATTACTATGATTGGTAAAGTTTTTACATGCCATTTTTAGGTAAAAATAAAATGAATTATTTTTCAGTGTCATTGAACTTTTTTCTCCAGAAATTTCACGGAATTTTTAATTGAAGAACTAAATAAATTTAACGGGCTGGAAGTTGGGGAGAAATGAGTTCTTTTATAAGATAAACACAGATGACTTGTTCTCTCATTGCCTCAGGTCTGATAACTTCCAACCCTCATCTACTTCCTCTACTGGGGACTTGCTCTGCATCTTTCTACGCCGTAATCTCATGTACAGGACAGTTTTCCCATTACGTACCTTTATTTTCCTCCACATAAATTTTGTATCTTTAGTATTCTAAAATGCTCCTGTCACCTCCTGCTGAAGGTGGCACTTGCTTATGATATACTACCACTTACCTGTTCTCTTTGAACCTCTGATATGAGACAGCCCTTGCCTTTAATCTTTTCTTAGGTAATTGCTCTGGTTATTATGTGCAGTCTTTATTGTTGATTTAACTGTGTGTGTCGGGGGGAGGGGTGATCAATACTATAATCTTAATAAAAATCATAGTAGCGATTTATAATTTTGTTACCTTTAAGGTTTTAAAATTATGAGCAATGTATATTCTTGAGGTCAGGTTAACTTTTTTTTTTTAGGGAATTCTCATTTATGATTTTTAAGTGAGTTTTTCCTCATTAATTCTCTTGACGATTTTAAATCAGCTACAACTTATTTAGTCTATGCTTTTTGGCTTTTGGATAAGGATGTTTTTGTTGAACTTTTATATTTTTCTAATGCTCTAAAACAAATAGTTCTTATACAGCCTCCGCAAAAGACCTTTATTCACCCCCAAACATTGAATGCACTCTGTGTCCTAGGTTGTTGGGACTGTAGAAATAAGCATGCTCTTGGCTGAATAGTAGTCTTCATGTGGACAGTAGATGAGCTTGGTATTAAGAATTATTTTTTGTTTGTTGGGTTGTAATAATCTGTAGCAGGCCTGTCAGAGTTTTAAGAGTAGAAAAGGGTTTCCTAAAATTAAGTTGTGATTAGCTGCAACTGAAGAGCAGCTTGAAAACCCAGTTCTTCAGTAAGCAAGATAATGGCATTCAGGGTAGTTCACTCTGCAGTAGCTGATTGAGCATAAGATTGGGGAAAGCTTTGTTGTTTCTATGCAGTAATTGCAAGAGCAGCTAATATAGCCTATGTTTTGGGGGTAGAGGAATATTACAAGGAGGAAAAGTCTCCTCATACTGTGACAGTACATAACATTTACGCAAGTTGTTTCTGCCAATTAGATACGGCTTTAAAAATAGTCTTGAAAAATAGTTTATTCTTTTTCCCTTTTTTTTTTTACAGGCAAAAAATAAGTATTTTGAGGGGGTCACATGGTATTTTCAAAAAAAGCCAAGATAAAGAACCATCAGTCCCTTATAACAAGGCATACTTTTTATATGCCTTGCTTTTGAGGTGGACAGCATGTCTGAAAGTAGGAGTAGGTGCTTTATTCAGCTTCCATTATCCAGGTGTTGTGCTGAATGGCACAGAGTCCTGCATGGTGTGTGATCTGACCCAGAGAAGCACAGTTGGTATGTTCTCAGGAGAAAACACTTTTCTCTGTATTCCATTTACATGGCTTCTATAAGTTGAAAGGGAATAATGAAGTGACTGGTTAAACTAGATTTATAATTATCTCAAAATGGAAGAGACCTTAAAAATCGTGCAGTGGAATTCTCGATGTTTCGTTCATAAGTTTATAGATGTGATCTTTCTAGTTAATAAAGCAGTTTCAGTTTAACAACTAACATGAATTTATTTTTGTACTAGATGGAAACAGTACGAAGCATATGTACAAGCTTTGGAGGGCAAGTACACAGATTTGAACTGTAAGTCTGAGTTTTACTTCCCAAAGACCTTATGAAGATCTTGTGGATTGTTAGAGACATGAAGGATAATTGGTTTTGCTAAGCAAATGTCATTTTTATGTAAATATTAAAGAACTGTGTGCAGTTGCTGTTTGGGGGCTAGGAGATAGATGCATGGGATGTGATGTCTCTTCTTGGGGAGTGCCCAGGCGCTGGGGGGACTAGCACGCAGTAATTACATGATGGCCTGACTGTTTCAGCAGAAATATGAAGAAGGTTCTGAGAGGGCACAGGTAGGGAGAGTCACAGCTGCTCATAACTTTCCTTCGTTTGTCCCTTAACCATTCCACAGAGGAATTGGAATTAAAGCATGAGTTATTAGCCTAGACTTAAATTGTAACAATAGGATATGGCTATATTTTTACAGATTTTTCAAAATCTGCTAAAAAATACCAGTAAGGTTTGTAATTTCAAACCATTTTTTTAAAGATTTCATTTATTTATTTTTAGAGAGAGGGGAAGGAAGGGAGGGAGAAAGAAAAGGATAGAAACATCATTGTGAGAGAGAAACATAGATCTGTTGCCTCTCGCGCACCCCCATCCGGGGACCTGGCCCACAACCCAGGTATGTACCCTGACCAGGAATAGAACCAGCGACCTTTCAGGTTGAGGGACGATACCCAGCCCACTAGCCACACCAGTCAGGGCTAATTCCAAACCATTATAGTCTCACTTTTCACTGAGAATAATGTACTATTTGCAAGTTTAAAAGCCAATATAGTTTTTAAGCCCATAAATGTTAACACCTTAAAATTTCAATTATTATATAACTATATTATAATCCATAGATGTTATGAAAATTATGAAAAAGTAATAATTGCCCAGGCAGTTACTGGCATGTTTATTATATTTAATAGGTTAAAAAGTAATACTAACAAAGACTCTGAATACTGTCTAACATGAACAGATGAAAGTAATGAAATTTCCTGTGTTCTGTTGGAACAGATTAGACTGTGACAGCCTAACTCCATCTAGTATTAGTTAGGTGGCTTTGGACCGCTATAACGCCACTACTTCCTAAAAGGGCACTTGTGCTTAGGAACAAATTTCCTTGTTCTAAAAGTAGTTAGGATAGGAACTAAAGACTTGATGAACTTTTTTATCCTGGTTTTTATTATCCTTGACAAAGGCAATTAGAACTTTCTTTTGGTTAATTCAGTTTGATTTTGAAATTGTATTTCATAATGTTCTGAAACTTTTTCTTTTAATCATCAGCGAATGATGTAACTGGCTTAAGGGAGTCGGAAGAAAAACTAAAGCAACAACAGCAAGAGTCTGCACGCAGGGAAAACATCCTTGTAATGCGACTAGCAACCAAGGAGCAAGAGATGCAAGAGTGTACTGTAAGTATTTCAAATGTTTTACCTCTTTTTGAGGAGTTTGTGTTTAGTCCCCATTATGTGCTAATCAGTACTCAGCTAATTCAGTATACTTCATACTAATTATAAATGCACATTTTGTTAAGGTAGATGTGCTTTGAGCTGTAAATAGCTAAATGTAAAATTTTGGTAGATAGCCTCTCATCATTGGATTTAGAATATATTTTGTATGACCAAGAAGTCATAGCTATAAGTGATCCCCTGAAATCTCCACGATTTATGAGAATGAGGTATCTGAGGGGGTCAGGAGCAGTTGCTCTTTCCTGTGTAAACCATCTGATTCGTTTCTCCTCTGTGCTCTTTCCCCTTCGGTGTGAAAAGCTATTTTTCTTAGTACCAGCAACTTGTACCACGTTTCCTTTTTAATTATTACAGTTTTCATTAGTACCTTTTGCCATATCTACATAGATCTAAAATGTAGACATGTTTGATGGTTTAGCTCTGTTTGAATTTAGATTCAATTTTATGCTGTCTTCAATAGCTTAGCCCCATTTTTTTTTTAATTTAGTGTTTTTATATATCTTATACTAAAGACAGGAAGCTCTGTTCCTGTTGTTTCTAATTTTAAAATCTGAACCTCTCTTGAAGTCTTCTGTGGAATCTCCATTCATTTGATACATAAGTATTAAAATCTAACATACAGGCAATATCCTGGTCCCTGGGGACTCATGTATGAGGCCCCGTTCAATTCCTAGTTCTTCTCACATCGGTAAAATGTCCTTTAAGGCTCAGTCATAATTCTTTCACTTCTTGTGCAGAGGTTGCCCACGTTTCCACAAAAGTCTCTAATCCCTCGTTTCACTTTTTTAAAATGACTCACCTGTCACTTAGGAAAACAGTAGCCTTTGTCATTTTCTCTACCTTCTCACAACTTTTTTTTCCTTTGTTTGCATCTTCACTCCTGATTTTTTTTTCTCTAAGGTCACTAATGTGTTAATAAATTTTTCTTTTTCTCAGTACTCATATGTCTTCACTTTCTGTATTTACAACTATTAACCATCCTCACCTTTGGCTAGTGATTCCAAGAAGTCTCGCCAGTATATTCAGTGTTACTGTTTTTCTCTCTGCAACACCAACCCCACCCCACCTCTCCAACACAATTTTTTTCTCTTGTGATTTTCATGTCTAATGGAGTGGGCAGTGCACCTCAGGTGCCCAGTCTCAAAACCATTTTATTCTTTCCTCCTTTTCCTGATATTTAGGATTCTAGAGTCTGCCATTCATTCGTGGAATAGTTTTGGTTCTCCCTGTTTACATGGGATTGTGCTGGATGCTTGTACATGAAAAGGATGAATCTTACCTTCCAAGTGCTGACACCTGGCAGATAGAGTGGGGATGGGTGGTTCTGCGGTAACACCTCCTAACACTAGTGTGTCTTGAACTCTCTCTTCTTAAGTCCTCCTTCTGATGTCCTCATTCAGGTGCTTCTCACCGCTTGCTTTAGACAGTATGCTACTGACCCACCCCTGTGGTTCTTCAGCTAGCCTGTAGGCACTGGCGTTCTGATCATACCATGCCTGATCAAAGCCTCTGTTGATGCCCTGTTGTGTTTTCTCAGCCTAGATTTTAAGATTATCTGAACTAGAAACCTTTTCCAGCCACATCATGACTGTGTCAGTGTTGGAGAGGCACTGTTTTCTTTAGTGATAATAGTATGTGGCATATACCATATGACATGCGTTATTCCTGTTAAATTGTCTTGGCAACTGGCCTTACATTGAAGAAGCAGTTACACTTTTTTTGTTTAAAATGGATTACCTTAGCCCTGGCTGGTGTGGCTCAGTGGATTGAGTGCTGGCCTGTGAACCAAAGAGTTGATGGTTCGATTCCCAGTCTAGGGCACATGCCTGGTTTGGGAGCCGGGTCCCTGGTAGGAGGTGTGCGAGAGGGAACCGCACATTGGTGTTTCTCTCCCTCTCTATCTCCCTCCCTTCCCACCTCTAAAAAAAAACAATAATAAAATAGGTTACCTTAAAAATATTGCCCTTAAGCTAAGTAAAAATTAGTGTGTTTGCTCAGTGGAATGATAAGTATATTCCATTCAGTATATTTCTAGCTCTTAATAAATTTATGATAGAAATCAGCTACTTATGAAATGTTAACCAAATCCTATTTAAGCCTTAGTGCGTAGCAGGATCTTGAACCATCTCTTCTTTGTGTATGAAGAGAGCGATGCATTTAATGCTACTAAACTCTATTTCATATTTTAGAAAGGTATTTTTAACGTGCTAGTAAATAGTACAGCTGAAGTCGAAATTGAAGGTTTCATATGTAAGTAGAGGAGCTCTGGTATGGTGGAGAAAGCCCTAGACTGGGAGTCAGAGGCTCGAGAACTAGAATTCTAGTCCGTGTTCTGGCACTGAACTAACTATGTCCTTGAACAAGTGGTTCATTTGATTTCTCAAAAATAAGCAGTTAGGACTAGGTCAGTCACCATCCAGCTTTACAAATCTATGATTCAACTCTACTCCGAAGGAGAAAAAGAAACATAGAACTTACTCTGGTTTAAGGTGCTATTTATAATGCCGTTTTATAAGATGCTGTTTATAAAGTAATGCCAACTCATGTAAACAGAAATACTACATATTTCTAAATCTAGAAATGCAAATGTGTGTTTTAAGTTATAATCTTGCACCTAGTGTATTTTTAGGGGGGCTGTATTGTAAATAGAGTAACTTTGACAGGCATACATTTGAATGAGTAAGGCACACTGTTGTGTAGCTGGGCTTTTTTCCAGTAGTGCTAGCATTTTTAATAAATATAACATTTTTTTTTTGTACTATTTCTGTTGCAAAGTAAGATATTGCCTCTCTACTTAAAGTTTCCAGATATGGAAATGCACTCAAATGGCCTTAATTCCTACTGGATAACCTTAACTAATTGTTTATCATTTTTACTTGATCTAGAGGATTTTAAGATCAAAGGGGGTGGGTTTTAATAAACAAGTTAGTGAATCCAGCTAGTGAAAGGGATTTTTACCCCCTTTCTTACGTCTGTTTCCTTTGATACGGTGGTAATTGCTCCCTTTGCTTTGCACAGACTCAAATCCAGTACCTCAAGCAAGTCCAGCAGCCCAGTGTCGCCCAACTGAGATCAACAATGGTGGACCCCGCAATCAACTTGTTTTTCCTAAAAATGAAAGGTGAACTGGAACAGACTAAAGACAAACTGGAACAAGCCCAAAATGAACTGAGTGCCTGGAAGTTTACGCCTGATAGGTAAACAAATCATACTCCCCAGTCAAGACTTCCCTGACAGTCCCACTGCGAGAAAGCGGTGGTGGGACAGCCACGCACTCGTTTCCACACCAAGACTCAGACTTTTTGAGCCAAAAAAGCCACATTCTTATCCTATCCAGCTTGTAATGGTTAATGTAAAACTTACCAGATGAACCTTGTGTTTCAGCTTTTTTCTCTTCCCCCTCCCCCTGCTTCAGAGGCCTGATGGCGTCGGACTAATCCGAAGAAGTGGCCACCTCCGAAAAATCCCCCTTCTAGAACATGTAGACACTTGAGAAATGTTTCTGTTTGAAGAAAATAGAGGGAGAAACAGAAGTCTTAAGTCTGTGGCACACTGTGTCTTCAGACAGTTTGAAGGAATGAAAACCTAGAGATTTAAAATCATGAATTGAACATGTAAAATTCCAGTAAAATGTAAAAATGGAATATGCATCGCTCTTAACCTTGAGCATAGTGACTTAGAGACACTGTGTATCAGTTTTGCCAATAAGACTGTGGACTTCGTGATGTCGTTGAACTTCTTGGTCAAAACTCCAATGAGGTGAATTTTGCCTTTAAAGGGTTTATTTGCTAAGAAACAACTTAATAGTTACAAGAGAATCAAATAATAGATACCAGTACAAGTAGTTCATTATTTAACCATTTAGTTTGGGGCTCTATATTACTAGAATGAGCCTTAAATCAATGTGGTTTTCATTAATGGTTTGTTCTTTGAATGGTTGCTAATACTGTAGATAAACTTACTGAGGACTGTACAAACATGAAGGTGTGGTATCAAACTTCAGGTTTAAACTGTTTGAAGCATTATAAACATTCATTTCACAACTAGATTGTATAAGGATATTGGCTGTGATGAGACTCACTGCGTTATTTTTTTAGTAGTGAAATTTATTAAATCCCCATTCCATTCAGTAGGCACATGTTGAAAGAGCATTGTCATTGGTGTTAATGGGGGAATGTGTTCCTTCATTGTACTTGGGCCTTTTGTATCACACTCTTGATATTAAATTAAATGTGCCTTGAAATAGTTGTTTTTTTTTTTTTTTTAAGTTCAAGGAATACTATGATGATTTTGTTGTACTCTTAACATTTTGATTTGGGGGGCGCTGTGGAGAGCAGATTGATTTTGGAAAAATTGTTGCTGTGCTCTTCAAAGGAAAGGAAAAGGCCGTGCCTCTGTTTTCCAGCTGGCATCATAAAAGACAAGGAGACTTGACACTTGTTACTTTTTGACGCCTTGTCCCAGGATATTGAAGTAGAAATTAATGTGGGACAGCTTCACAGGGTGCCTGCCAGAAGACTGGGGAAATTATGTATTGGAACTGTGGGCTGGCCTAAGTGAGACCTTTTGTGACTTGAAAAAAAAAAAAAAAGGTATAGTGATCATTTCTAGCAAACTCATTTGATCATTTAGATAAATGAGGCATTTTCTTCATGCTTCCATCCAGTCCTGGAGGTGAATTTTTTTCTTCAGATCATTCTATAAGTCACCAATTCGAATTTTCTCTTGGTGATAATGGAGTCTAAGATGAGTGGAAGATAAATGTTCCAGATTGTCCCAACGTTTAAGTGCAGTTTTAACAAGGGTGACTTAAGTTCTCTCTTAATCATTCAAATCAATTGTAAGTATCATGTATGTTTATGCTTTAGGGAACTGATTGTGGGGCAGAGGGTGGGCTGAATAAGTGGTTTGTGTGACTTTGCAGCAAGAAATCCCCTTCTGAAATTCTCATTATTTGTGGGGGTTGGAGGGTAAGTAACCACATCTGTTCAAAATTAGCTTATTGTGCTCACATTAAGGCTTTTGTACGTGTTTTATGCCATTTAAGATCATAGTAGAAATGACCTTAATATTTTTACTAGGTCAAGAAATAATATATAAAATGTGTAATTAACATGTACCTCAATGTAGCCAGCACTGTTCTTTGCATCTAGGTAACTAGTCACTTCAGGGTCTACGTTTTTTTTATTCTTACTGTTAAATTTTTTTTAATTAATGAGATAATACACGATCATGAGTAAAATTGAAACAGCATGAAAAAAGGTGAAGACGAAAAGTGAGAGTCACTCCTCGATGTGACCTTGCCTTTCCCCATGTTCTTCTTCAGGAGCAATAACCACTGTTAACATTTCTTGGGTATCAAGACAATTTCTGTGCATATATTGGTTTTAAACAAATGTGAACATACATACAGATGGCTTGCTGCCCTGGCTTTTGTTTCCCACTTTGTCGTTGGGACCTTCCCCCCCCCCCCCATTTAGCTTCATTTTTAAAGGTTACATAATATTCCAGTTGTTTTGGTGTATTTTAATTACCTATACGTAGATTTTTTTGCTTGTTTTTTTAAAGTAGGCTATAAGCCGGGGTATTCCAGGTACTATAAATACATCATTGATTTGAAACAAATAGTACATAATCAATACAATGCCTGGAATAATTCAAATAGAATGGGTTGTGGAGTTGGTTTGTTTTTGTCCTATTTTCATTTTTAAAAGATTCCCTGAATTACTTTGTCCACTTTAGTTAAAATATTTTATGCATGTGAGAATGCGTATGTTTCAGAAGGGCCTGGTTCAGTATTTTGGCAGATGTCGCTCTGCATTTGAACAGCACTGAGGCCACTGTGTGTGCACCTCTCCAGGGCACCCTAGGCCCTAGAAAACAAAGCAATGCACAGTGTCCATCTTTTTTATGAATTTTTCTCTAAATTCCTTATTGTATTTTCTTCGTGGGTTATTTGATTTTGAATGGGTTGGATGTTTTTTGTAGTTAAAAAACATTTAAGAGACAGTTACAATTAAATTCTTAGGCTTTTGTGATGTAATGAGCACAACACAAATTTTACATGACATAATTAGTAAAATGACATAAAAGTTACAAAATGTTTAAAGAACAGCGTTTTGTTAAGATTTGTTTTAGTGATCATAAATTTTAGAAACCATAGGATTATCTTAGACAAGGCATTTATTTATAAAAAGGTACAACTTCATAAATGAAACATTTTGCATTAGAGTTTGTGCTACTTTATGAGATATGTCAGGTCATGAATTGATGCATTGATTTTAGTTTTTTTAATCTTTATTAAATTTATATAAAAGTTTTTCAGGTTAGTTGGAAAACACTGATGGTACATACTTTGTAAGATAAAATTGTGGGAGCATAATCAGTAAAGTGGGAGGAAGAAACACAAGTGTGTCCTATTTCTTAATTCCTCATTTGACTTCTAAACTCTGGTTCAGCGTAGGCGCAAGGTTAAGGGTGCCAAGGGAAGTGGCAGCTAGCCAGTGGTAGCAACAGACAGGAGCAGTAGCTAAGAACGTTGCCATGGAGAAAATAAACCCTTGCCCCGCACTGGCTGGCTGACTCATGGCTTTCACCTGAGGCTCTTGTGAGCCGCAGTGACCAGGTTGCACTTCAACACAGGTTTGCCAAATAGACTTAATTACAACCTTGCTTGGGTTATATTAGGTCGGAACAAGTGCTGTCAGTAAAAGAGCCTTGCGATGCTGAGTCAAAGAATGAGAATCGTTTACAAAACGTTCCCATTTTAAACATTCTAAGTCTTAATAGAATCAGACGCATTCTGAAGTAATACATTGGGCAAGCAAAAACCTCACTAAAAGAAGAATTAGAAAGCGTCAGCAAAAAATTGTTTTACCCAACAAGGTCATTCTGAACTTAACCCCGTCACAATATCAAACTTTCTACCAAAGTCTGAAAGGTAACTTCACAATTATATGCTCAAGTCACATCCCTTTACAAGTCATTATTTCTCTTATTGCTGAGGCTAAAGAAAAGCAATAAAGTTTTATTGGGAGACTACTGTCGGGGCTTTTGATTGCACTTTTTGCCATTGCTCTATACATCATGCGGGTTCTGTAGTATGTTGCACTAGCACTAGGAAACTGATTTGTGAAAGTATGACACTCCCAATTTGGCAAATATTTGGATTTGTGATAAGTAATCCAAATCTTTTTTTGTCCTAAGAATAATGTTTTATAGTATGAATAAAATCTTAACTGCATATCAATATGAAATTTTTTAAAAAATTAATGTCATATTTAAGATAGCTCTGAAGTATATAAAGAAGTTAAATGAGGGATTGGTGAATAGAAAGAGTCTCGAGGCTCTATTTTTAAACGCTTCTTTGAAAACAGTTACTGAGCACACCTCCCTTAATGCAATAAACATTCTTGGGAGAACCGCCTTGTTAGGAGGCCTCCCATTAAATGCCATTCTGCCAATAAATGTGCTCTCAGTCACTTACAGGTACTGATTTTCACAAATTAGGCACTTGAAAGAATTGTACATTTGTGATGTTGCATTTAATTTTTCAAGAACTTTTCCATAAAGCTAAGTACCTTAGTGTCACTGTTGGTATGTCTGAGGTGTGTGTTAATTAACTGACCTATTTTTATTTCAAATGATAATTTGAAATGAAAATAGATCTCAGAATTATTGCTATAACAGCAATAAAAAGCGGCCATTAGGGCGCTTTTGGTTCAGGGTGCACTTCACTGTGGTACTGGCAACGCGCTGAAGCGCGGAAGGTGGGTGTGTCCCAGAGGAGGAGACTCGGTCGGTCGAAGGGAGGCGCCTGCAGTGACACGGCTACGATCTGCGCCTGGGGCCTGTGTCGCTGTAACGTTTGCAGGCGAAGAAGGTTGTGGAGCGTTTTGTCTTCATTTTGTGATGGATGGCTCTTTCCTTTGCAGCCAAACAGGCAAAAAGTTAATGGCGAAGTGTCGAATGCTTATCCAGGAGAATCAAGAGCTTGGAAGGCAGCTGTCCCAGGGACGTATTGCACAACTTGAAGCAGAGTTGGCTTTACAGAAGAAATATAGTGAGGAGCTTAAAAGCAGTCAGGATGGTAAGGGGTTTTTGTTTGTTTTGTTTTTAAAGTTTGGTTAATGTTGTACTGGCTTTACAAAACTGCTAGGTATGATACTATAGGTTAGGTTCTATATGTGCATTACTCTGGCCAATGGTTCTATAAAATTATGAATGAAACATTTCTAGTTAAGTCAGCAAACAAAGCTTCTTAATTTTAGTGCCCCGCCCCCTCCTGATTGTTGATAGTGAAGTTCATAAGAAGCTTTTGTTTTTCAGGGGTGGGATTTGGTGAAAGAGTAAAGCTGTTATATTATTAGTAAGGCATTACATAGATACACCAATTTATAATCAGTGCTTAAAATGGGAGAATATTTTCTTTTAACCAGTTTCTCTAATTGTAAAGTTTGGAGGTGTTTGACTGTTTGCATTGGTCTAAAAGTGTATCATTGATTGTACATGTGAAGGTCCTATGTAGCAAATATGATAATATTTAAGTTTGCTAAGACCAACCAAACTTGTCAGCCACCATTCTTTTGTGGGGGTGGGGGTGCAAGTGTAGCTCTTTCTCCTCTTTATAAGGAAGGTTCATAGCAAAGAAAATTGAATTGTGGATTACTGTATCTAACAGTTAATTGCAAAGATCAGTAGCCAAATGTATCTTTAAAATAATCTCTTCAAGGTGATAGTTCTTACCTCTTACACTTTGTAAACATAGTGAATAGGACATTTTGTATAGTAGTGAGGACTTCTTTTTTTCCCCAAAAGGCTTTTAGGACTTAATGGAAGTTTGTATTCTATCACTTCTTAAGTTGTTTTCTCTGGGTGTTTTTTTGGGTGGGGGGATGTAGAATAGTTCCTTGGCTGCGACCTAAGCCTCTTTGGGGTGTTAGCATAGAGGACCGCGCTACTCTCCAGGGGCAACACCTGCTGTGGAGCTGAGAACAGCCACTGGCTAAGAGGATGTGTGAGAGGAACAGTCACGTGGGCCCATGGGTCAGACCAATGGGAAGCAGATTTTGAGGGCTGTATCAGTTGTCATGGCTAGATAGTTCGAATCAATTCAAATTTAGTTGCTTTAATATATTTATTTTAACCATCTGTCTTCCCGTCACAAACAAGCTCATTCTTGCATGGCTAGTTTCAAGTCAATCTTAGAATTGTGTGTGTTTGCTGAAATATTGACCGCCTGGCTTTGTGGCAGGCAGTAAGAAGTCTTTTAAAAGATGCTATAAGAGATATTAAAGTAGGTCTGACTCTCCTTTGCACAGAGCTGAATGACTTCATCATTCAACTTGACGAAGAAGTTGAGGGTATGCAGAGCACCATTCTAGTTCTTCAGCAGCAACTGAAGGAGACACGCCAGCAGCTGGCTCAGTACCAGCAGCAGCAGTCCCAAGCCCCCGCCCCAAGCACCAGCAGGACTACGCCCTCCGAGCCTGTAGGGCCAGTGGAGGCCCCAGCGAAAGACTGCAGCCGGCTGGCCAACGGACCAAGTAATGGCAGTTCTTCCCGGCAGAGGACGTCTGGGTCTGGATTTCACAGGGAGGGGGACCCGACGGAAGATGGCTTTCCTCCTTCTCCAGGGAATGGTAATAAGGCCTCCAGCAGCTCAGAGGAGAGAACTGGCAGAGGAGGGAGTAGTTACGTAAACCAACTCAGTGCGGGGTATGAAAGTGTAGACTCTCCCACGGGCAGTGAAAACTCTCTCACACACCACTCAAATGACACAGACTCCAATCATGACCCTCAAGAGGAGAAAACAGTGAGTGGGAAAGGTAACCGAACTGCGGGTTCCCGCCACGTTCAGAATGGCTTGGACTCAAGTGTAAATGTACAGGGTTCAGTTTTGTAATATTTTTCCAGCAGACTTTTATACAGTATCATTTAATTTGGGAGAGGTTACTATGGAAAAAATTAACGCATACTTTTGTCACAATTTGCCTTTTTTGGTGGGTGTGTGTGGTTTTTGTTTTGTTTTTTTGTTTTTTTGTTTTTTTTCTTTTTTTTTTCCCTTTGCTTCAATACCTCTGCCACTTTGGAAATTGTAACAGTTAATTACTTTGTTGCTAAAAGGACATTTTGTGTAGGGTCAGGTTATTTTTATATGAGTTAATGTGAAGTTGTAAATGGAAATCTTTCCTTAAAGTATAACACGATGACGTCTGTATAAATCTGTGTCTCTCTAGAACCCGTGCTGTGTCAGGGCATTCTTCTTACTCATGCTGTTACTATCCTCTGCACCACTCAGACTTGTTAGCGTAGATGTGGGATTA